GCACTATATATCATCCATTAGTCCATTAATATTAGTGCGGCCAAATAGATTAATAGTGATAGATAATTTTTATCAAATTAATTAATAGATTAATATATGTGCATTATTTATATATATATATATATATATATATATATATACAGTATATATATATATGTGTGTGTGTGTGTGTGTGTGTGTGTGTGTGTGTGTCTATAATATACATAACACACAAATATTATAAAAACATAAAGTTTTGTTAGATGTGATTAATTGCAATTAATTGATTTGACAGTTCTAATATATATATATATATATTCTTTATTATTTTGCCTAAACCAATTAAAAATAAAACACAAAAACTAAAATCAGTCAGTTTAAATGCTAAAAATACATTTAGACAGAGCAACATTACAACTTTAAAAACACTACAGCTAAAGATTACACTTAACAGTGTTATTAAATGATTTTAATTTTTAAAGTTAATAAGTAAGAATTAAATGACAACAAATGTAAACAAAATATACAAATAGTGGAAATGAGCATGCACAATTAAATATCTATCGGTCAATATATATTACAATATTGACTGATAGTGATAAGGAAAATGGCATCAAGAAAGCCAGGACTGCCACTGGTGTCCCATCACAACAACAGATATGACAGCCCCATCAAAATAATCAAAATGCCAGAACTAGAAAAGCCTTAGAAAGTGATATACATGTTCCTGAAGTGAGAGCAAGGCCATAATGGGGTGAAAAGTGGGGAAGATTCTATGGGCTTAGGAGGACCCCGCGATTTCAACAGAGGGGGACCCACCCCATAAGCCTCTCCCTGGCCCCAGAACACGATTTCAACTGAGGATTTCACAAGGGGCAAAGCCCCTGCCACAGAACGCGATTTAAAGGGGATCCACGGCAACAACCTGCACCGGGGACCCGGATACCCCCGCTATGGTCCTGACTCCTGAGTGAAAGTGCCATCTGAATAGAATCTCCCAAGATAGTAGTAATATGTTCAACAGTGTAGGGTTCAAATCAACATAAGCCCATTGGAAATCCAAGTCAGAAAGTCAGCATTTTGTACTGATAGCAAAAGGAGCATCTCTGGTTACAGAGAACTCCACAAACAAGCTCAAACACTGCTTACAATTCAGCTTTTTCAATGTGAATGAATGCCTTCTAATTACAGAGTAAAAACACACACATTCACTCACACGTCTTACAATGCCAGCCCTCCCTCCAGTTCTTTCTGTGTTTGTACTCCACACAGGGCTTTTTGTGATAAAGTGTGAACTCTAAACAAGAGCTGGGAAGCTTAATTGTCTTTCTGGGAGTTAGTGACAACAATCACAACAACCAGTCTCATTATGACATCGCATGATCATAAATATGATCTCCAATCACAGCCTGCTATACAAAGTCCATCTACTGAGGTTAAGTGCCTTTATCATTCTTTCATATAGTACACAGATCAATTTACCTGCACTCCACCAGGAGTTTCTAGATATAAGAACAAACATAAACATATAAAATGCTTCTATTTAGGGTTTCTCTAATTTAAAAAAATATATATCATTATCATTGGAATGAAAGAGTTTTAAATAAAATATGGCATTTTGCATAATGGACACCACAAGTTTGTGCAAAACCTTAACTTTTTTTTTTTATTGCACATGGTGAACTTGATTAGTGACCTAGAAAAGATATACATGTTTAAAAAATAAAAATTAGATTTTAAATCAGACTTTTGGAGTTTGCTGTCACTGGGAAATGTAGTTTATTCTATTGCTGTCATAGTTCTTTTTAAAGCTACATTAAGAAAATGACCCTTTTAGTGATGGCTTAAAAAAAATAGAAAAGTACATTGAGCACTGATGTGAACACTTCAGGCTTGGCGTTTCAAGTGGCAAATTCATTTCAAATGCATTTTTCATATTAATACCAAATGAGTCTTTGAACAAAGATGTTCTGCTGTTCGGTTCCACCGATGAATAGAGCTGGGCAACTCAACACCATTCTAATCAATTTTCTCAACTTCCAAAATCGAGGGCAGCAGATTAAATTATGTATGTAATAGGTTTGTTGCCTTCTTTGTGAAAAGAAATTTGAGCCAAAAACAGATTAGTCCTCAATAGCAAACAATGGCTTCTGCTTGACATAGGCTTTGTCTGACTTTACTAACAACTTCTGAGGAACACATATCTTGATCAGTGGAAAATCTCACCCCTGATCAAGGAGCTGGAATATCCACAAAATCAGATGACGTCAAACTAGCCTATTGATTTTTGTAACAACACGTGTATAATGATGTAATAGAATCTTTTTAAAACTCTCATTCTGTAAAGACACTTTATAGCAATATGCAAGCGTTTAATTGTTACTTTGTTTCCACACTGAAGCGATGACTGAGAAATGGATGAATGTGGAAACAAACATTAGGTATTTTGTAATATGTATTTTTGCCTAACATATTGAAATGGCTACTTTAAAAGAACTTTTTGACGACCTGAACAAGTTACATAGAAAACTGAAAACTTTCAAATCTAAAAATATTGTTCTAAATATCATTTTAAAAGACAACTCATCAGGCCGTTTCATGACAACACAGAGTTCATGCTCAAATCTGAGCTCAAATGAAAGTTGACGGAAGAACCTACCGAAGAAAGGAGGAAGGTGAGACACCGCCTCGAGAAACGGCCGGGTTTCCACTTGTTTGTCGGCTGGAAGTTGCCGGAACTGGTGCTCCATAAGAAGAGCCATTATTGCCTAAAGTGGGCGAAAGTGACTTTTTTTTTTTGCCTACAACATAAGACGAGGACAACACAGTAGAAATGAAGGCAGAACCCGGAACTACCGCCGGACAGACAGACACAGCGTTTACTATTCCAGTTCTTCTGTTAAAGCTGTACTACACAGCTGGACGGCCCCCCCATGTACCGCCCCTTTATGCAAATATTTGTAGACATATCGCGGAAACCAGAGCCGTTAGGCGGAAAAGTTCAACATGTAGGCGGAGACTCTGCGAAGGAACGAATCATATCATGGGGGCGGGGCCAAAACTGACAGTTTATTTTCCTCAGTCCTCACACTTTACAATGTAGTGATGAAAAATGTTGCTGCACATTTACATAAAAATAATTTTTACTGTTGCGGAAATATGTAATATTCAGTGTTCAACTTTTTCATTATCTGATGTTATTATGGTGTATAACACATTTTATTTTTATTTTAAAAAATCTGTTCAGACAGATTCATCAGATAAAACACCAATGCTCTTTGTAAATGTTTCGTCCCTTATTGAGGCTTATAGCTTTAGGCAGATTGCATTTCAGCCGGTCATTTAATACACAATCAGGCATTAAATCATTTAAAAAGTGTTTTTCTTCTCAAAGAAAATTATACCTTAATTTCACTATTGCTTATTTGTGGATTATTTAAAGGATATAAAATAATCAAAGAGCAGCTCAGGTTAGAATCTTTGCTGAAAGTTTAGGGGCCTCCTATAGTTAATAATTAAAATGTCCTTTACCCTGTTGCTGACATTAGAGGTTTAAGCCGGGAGTCTTTCTGACGACAATTAGACACGATTATCTGGTCACCATTAAACATTCAATGCAATGTTTAATTCATGCACTAGTAGGCCTAACCTACAATGACCCAGAAAGATGTCATTGTCTCTTTATTAATACTGGCATCAAATTTGCAGTTTTATCTCACACCTCAGCTGACTGCTCATTTTTAATCAATATTTAATCTTCTATAGAGTATTAAGACACTGCTGTCACCTTCACTGCAGGTCTTGATCACGCTTGAAATATCCCTGGAGATCAAATAAAATAAGACTTCTGAATAGTAAAGGGCCAGCATGCTTGAGTGAAACTGTTACAGTCAGGTTCCAATCCAAAAGTAAAAGATCCATTATTTTTCTCCATATGTAAATTGATTATTAACGATAACTTTAAACCAGTTTAAAGACAGCCTTACTGTGAGCTGCGAGGTTGTTAGTCGATAGCATTTGTTGCTGTTGCATTGTTTCAAATTAGTTTTAAAATAATTGTGTTTAACAGCAGAATTGGAGGTGAAAAACTATACATTAACCGTGATGCTGTACTGAGAATCCACCAATCAGAGAGTTGAAACAAATAAAACGCACCAAAAGCAGTCTTTAGGTCCACCCACTCCCATGAAGCACTGCGAATCACCTAAATGACTCCATATACAAAGTCGATATACACAAATAGGCTATGATATATGCATATTTTGCCATAAATTATATAGGCCATAAAATCTAGATTTTTATATAGGCTAGTTGTATATTTCTACATCGTTTTTATGCTGTTATGCTGTTAAGTACACAGTCTTGTACCTTTGTATTTTTGTAAGATTTTTTAAACACTTTTTTTTGCTTCTTTTTTGTTTCATCTCATAACTGGATGACTTGGTTCATGGCTTATAACACGTTAAAACCCTGGGAGAAATGAGTGGAAAAAAATACTTCCAGAACCAACGCCGCTGAAAAAGTGGACGGGCACTGTTGCACTCAATAAGTCTTTTAATAATTTTGTATTCTTTTTGACGCATTTTAAAATTGCCAAAGGGTGATTAAATTGTAAGGGTAAACATTTAGTATCATTCAATAGCTACTTTAGATTAAACCAGCCTAGCAGAGTTAAAATTGTTTATAAGATTGCAAGTGGGCTTTGGCAACTATACATAGCCTATATTGGCAATTTTACAATTGTGTAAATTAATCACACTGACATTCTTTTTCTGCAAAGACCATGATGACAAAGGGTGAGCATGCCTGCATTTTCTTTTTTTTTTAATTTCATCAAGAAAAATATTTAATTTAAACTATTTTATAAAATAGTTACTCTAACTGTAAACTTGATATCATATTGCCATATTTATCTGCAATAAATTAAAGTAGCCTACTATATATATATAAAAAAACGACCGCAAAATCGCTTCGCTCTGTCAACCTTGTTTGTGCCTCGCTCCACGCCGTAGGTAACCAGGAAGTAGCGCAGTAACCAAGTACAACGCTTCCCCTCTGGTTATTTGTTTACGCGCCCGCTGTCGTTAACTGCTTTCCTCTTTACTTTCATATTATTCACTTAAATTAGGAGAGCACCAGAATATAACGTTACACGCATCAGTGTGTAAATTCAATGCTTTGAACGTGATTTAGCAAGCAGAGCCTTGTTTGCATTGCGAGCGATTATAAGCTTCAAATGCAATAAGCATGTTTTTATAATTAAGTTACAGCATTTTATGGATTAAAATTGCCTGCTGGAATGATCGTAGGTCAATCATAAAGCTTGAAAACGGAACTCGATTGAGCATCAGATGATCCATGGCTTTACCGACGCTTTCAGCGCACTGGCCGGGTCGGGTGCGGGCTCTGGAGAGGCAGCTGGTGCGGCAGCGGGAGCAGGAGGCTCGCTGGAGGCAGCAGTGGGAGCTGCACTCGCAGTACTTCAGAGAGCAGGAGGTCCGAAGCAGCAAACAGTCGCAATGGAGCTCACGGCAGTCCTTCCAGCGCAGGTAACGTTACTGATGGAGAATTACTTTCATTATGCCTTCCTTTAGCTTGTGTAGCTATTTGAAAAAAACACCTCAGCCCACATGGTTCTTTCTGGGATTGGTATTGAAACGTTATTTCTTTTTGGAACAGATCGATCATAGTCCTCACCGATTTGAGCTTATGTACCTCAGTTTTTTAGTTGAAAAGCAGCATTTGTGGATCATTTTGACCAATATTTAATAGAAAATTAAAACAAATGTAATATCATACTATTCTGCTTCAAGAAACTTTCTAAAGTATGAATATTTAGTTTTAATACTCTCAATAGCATAATTAATTTAAATTATTACAATGTTTCATGTTGATATACAAATCATTTTTGATTTTTCTGTCTTCACTTTTTCCTCCCCGAGAAGTAAAAATTTTGTAACTCCTAAGTTATTCATGTACAATATATGGGTCATTCAGGAGACAATATAATTGAATGAGCATGAATTAATTGTGAAACTGCATTGTAAAACTTTTATAATTATGTTTAATTTGTTATTTTACAATGAATATTTCTTATATTACTGTGTTTGGCTGGTTTCACTTAAACAGTGAATGATAGAACAATATAAAAAATCCCATATGTACTGTATTAACTGGCTTTTGCATCCACGGTAACGATTTGTGTTCTTTTCTTGGCCTTTTAGTATGTCAGCATTTCAGCGGGAGCGCATGAAGGAGGAGAAGCTGCGGAAACTAGAGGAACGCAGGGAGCGTCTGAGGACGATGCTCCGGCAGGAGACAGACCAGTTGGAGGCAGAGCTCAGAAATGTTGTGCCAGACAGAGCCACACTGACTAGACAGCTAGTGGAAAAAACAGATGGTCTCCGGTCTGCCAGGGAAGAGAGGAGGAAAAATGTATGGGCGCCAATTGTTTTGTCACAAAATGATGTTATGTTACACGTTTGAAAAGTGTCTGATCTGATTTGGTGATTTGTATTTTCTTCAGCTTGCACAGGAGCTGCTGAGGGAACACTGGAAGCAAAACAACTCGGATCTGCGGAAGGTCAGTCATATTACAGTAATGTATATTATGAAGTAAGTCAGTTATGAGTATTACTATGAGGCCATTTGTAAGGAAACACTTTTTTAAAGTAAGAATTTATATACACTACTGTAAGTTTGGGGTCAGTAAGATTTTTGTAAAATAAAGTAAACCATTTTAATCAGCAAGAATGCATTAAATTGAAGTGAGAGTAAAGACATTGATAATGCTATAGATTTATATTTCTGATAAATGCTGTTCTTTTGAACTTTATATTCATCAAAGGTTTCTACAAAATATAAAACAGCACAAATGTTTTCAACATTGATAATAAGAAGTGTTTCTTGAGCAGCAAATCAGCATATTAAAATGATTTCTGGAGGATCATGTGACCCTGAAGACTGGAGTAATGATGATGTTGAAAATTCAGCTTTGCCATTACAGGAGTAAATTACATTTTGAAATATAATCAAATCTAAAAGTTATTTTTAATTGTAATGATATTTCAAAGCATTACCATTTGAATGTATCAAATCAGTATCATGTATCAAATAAATGCAGCCCTGCTGAGCATTAAAAAAACATTTAAAACCATTAAAAAATCTTACAGACCACAAACTTTCAAAAAGTGCTGAAAGCACCCTTTTTACCCTTGTTTTAAACCCTCAAACTACATTACATCCATTGAAAGTTCCTTACTGTTAATAAAATTCTTCCTTTTTTAAAAAGCCGAGAGATGAGTAATTAAATCTGTGGAATCAAAGTTAAGCATTTCTGCAAAACATTGCCAGGAAATTAAACTCATCAAGAACCAGACATGACTGTAAGTTAATAGGGCATGTGATATGTTTCTTCCATGACTGATCTGTAACTCTGAGCTTGGGATTTGGTTCCGAATCCAAACACACGCAACCACTTTTGGAGCATTATTTAATCAGACATCTCCGTGTCTCAAATGTTTGTGCATACAGGTGGAGTCAGGATTGCACAAAGATCATGTTGTGAGCCAGTGGCAGTTTCAACAGCAGGAGAAAAAACAGGTAAGACGTTCACAGGAAGTGCTGCCATGTCGGCTCATGCATGAGTGCATGATCAGTTGAGCATCACGTAACATTAACCATTTTGAGTATAAACATCTAGTGTGCAAATAATATTAGTTGTGTGTCCTAAGTTGATATTGTTGTTTTTTTTTTTTTTGGTTTAACATTAAAATGTAACCCAGGCTGATGAGAGAACTCAATTGGAGAAACAGCGTTTTGAAAACGAGTATGAGAGAACCAGAAGGGAGGCTCTGGAAAGAATGAAGGAAGAAGAGGAGAAGAGAAGACAGGAGGAAAAGAAGCGAGCTGAGGACCTCCGCAAACAGATGGAGGAGCTCAAACTACGAGACCAGGAAGTACAAAATTACTGTAGAATAGACTTATACGTGTAATGGATTGTTAAGTTTTGCCTGTCACAACAACAACAACAACCATGTGACATAAACAAAGGCGATAAAGATCAAGTAAATTCTTTATATTCGTTTTTTTTTTTTTATTATTTGTTTGTTTACAATAAGGTCCCATTACTAAAAGTGATTTAATACATTAACTAACAATGAGCAATACATTTGGTTATAAAGTTAGTTTATTAATCTTTGTTAATGTTAAAAACTTTTAGGGTTATCACATCCATTTGAAGACAACTTTTGATTTAAAAAATCTATTGGCAAATTTTGAAATGAACATTAATTGAGATTAATAAATGCTTTAAGGCTTGTTCACACCAAGGGCTATAACGATAACGATAAAGATATTGTTCATAATAATTATTTCTAAATATAAAAGGAGTTTACACCACAACTATGACGATAACAGCACGGAGAAATGATATCATTGGAATCACTTTTTGCATTTTTTTTTTCAGCTGATGATTGATACCAACATTGACAGCCAAACAGAATCCATCCTGCTTTAAATAGCTTGAGCATTTAAAGCGGCAGACTAAATGCTTAGAATAAACAGAACAATATTGTCTGGTGTGAACGCAAATAGTTATTGTGGTTGCACTTTATTTTACAGTAGTGTTCTTGCACTGTACTTACCCAAGAAACTACATGGGTTAAAGTTACATTAGGGGTAGGTTCAGGGGTCGCAGTTATAACCCAGTTATTGTACATAGTATGTACATGTGAAAAGGACTATAAAATAAAGTGTTACCATTATCGTTATACATATCTTTATAGAAGTATTTTTCATTGTTAGTTCACGTCAATAAATGTAATAATAAAAAACATTCCTTAAATAAATAAAAGCAGATAGATGCCATGTATTTGAGGTTAAGTTAGTGGCGCTAAAGTTTTTATACATTACATTACTTTTATTTGTACCAGGCTGAGCGTCTTAAGCAGGAACAGGAAGCTCTGATGTCTCAACGCTGGGAGCTTGAGAAGCTAGATGATGAGAGGAAGAGGATGGAGGAAAGCAGGAGGAAAACTGAATTCGGGTAAAATATTGAAACATGTTTTATATCATGTTTCACAAGGATTTCTTCTGCAACTGCTGTTATTGTAAACTAAATATAAACTATTAAAACCAGTTTTTGTTAAATGAATAAATAGTTAAATATTAGATGAAAAATATTAACCAAACTAAAATTTGAAATGTTGCTTTAAAAACTAATTGAATAACTTGAAGCACTAATTACTAACTGAAATAAAACCAAAACTGAAAAATATATATATATATATATATGAAGAGTTCAGATGCAAAAGCCTCTAAGTGCCATTTGAAATTTTCTTCTAGAATGATCATTTTTATCAAGCTTGTATATTTAAGTTCAGTGATTTCACTTAAATTGCAATGATAATTACCTATTAATTGTTATTTAAGTGAAATTACTGAACTTAAATAAACAAGTTTGATAAAAATCATCATTAAAGAAGAAAATTTCAAATGGCATTTAGAGGCTTTTGCATCTGAACTCTTCATATATATATATATATATATATATATATATATATTATACGAAAATGAATGGAGTTTTTACTTCTGGAACCCAACGGTTGCCCTCTATAGTATATTAATAATAATAAATGAGTAGTTCTCTGCTTCCACAGGCATTTCCTGACTCGTCAGTATCGTGCTCAGCTGAAAAGGAGAGCACAGCAGGTGCAGGAAGAACTGGTATGTTACAGCAGAAACTGACGTTTTTACCACTTTTTGCCCCAGAACTCAACATAGTTTGTCCTGGTCCTGACCTTTCCAATAACTTTCCTGTCCACCAGGAGGCAGACCGCAAGATCCTGGCAGCACTGCTGGAGGGAGAGGTGGAGGACCAGAGACTGGAGAAAGCCAGGAAAGAGAGAGCTGTCGCTGACGCCGCCTGGATGAAGAGAGTCATAGAGGAGCAGCTCCACCTGGAGAGGGAGAGGGAGGCAGAGTTTGATATTTTATATCGGTAAGCACAGTCAGGATGTTTTTTTTTTTAAATTTAAAGATGTGTTTGTACCTGTAAGTCAGACTCATGCTCTGTTTTTGTTTGCTGCCTGCAGGGAGGAAGCTCAGCGTGTTTGGGAGAAGAGAGAGGCAGAGTGGGAGAAAGAGAGAAGAGCTAGAGAGAGACTGATGCGGGAGGTAAGGCGATGCTGACAATAGATTAGCAGTCACATGCTCGAACGTTGGTTTTCTTTAATTAAACCCCCTTTAACAGAGCTCTTTGCTCACGTACTTCATGTGAATAATTTTCTGTTTATTATTTTCTTTGGATCATATAATGAGGAATTAAACAGGAATTGAGAAATTGTAACTTTTAGAAACATCTTCTTTAGACTCATTCTGAATTTGACAACATCATATAGATGAATGCATTAATATATGACTTTCAAACCCTAAGATAGTAAGTACTGGATCTCATTTCATATGCAAAGAGGATGTTTTTATAGATAACTTAAAGGAACAGCTGCAAAAAAAAAAAAAATAAATAAAATAAAAAATACCCCAGCCAATTTTACTTTAAAAGTTGCAGAGGGTGGAACATAGTACTGAAACATCAAATTTGGTGAAAAACTTAATAATAAACATAATACTTTCAAAAGTCAGTAAGATTTTAATGTTTTATGATTTTAATATCTCTTAAGCTCACCAAGGCTGCATTTATTTGATCCAAAATATAGTAAAAACTGTAATATTATGAATTATTATTACAATTTAAAATTGTTTTCTACTTAAATATTTTCAAAATCTATATTTTTTCCTGTTATTACCATTATTCCAGTCTTCAGTGTCACATGATCCTTCAGAAATCCTTCTAATATACTAATATGCTGTATACAACCGTTCAAAAAAAGCTAGTATTACTAATTATTACTATTATGTGTGTACCTTTAGGGGGGAAAATAAAATAAACTTTGATATTATAATAAATAAATGTTATTAAATGTATGATTGCCACTTTAAAGGTGAATAGTCTGTTTGTTTGTTTATTTATTTTCTTGAAATCACAACATACTTTATGTGCCACTGTCTGGTCAAATGAATACAATGGTTATTTTTGCAGTGGCACTAAAATGACTCACTTGACCTTTAAATTGTATTTTGAAGTAGTATTATACAGTTTTATAATGATAATGTAGTTCATTTTTAAGATTTATAGTTAAATAGCTGACAGTGAGTGTGTGTTGGATGTTGTATATTTTTAAACTACGTTTGGTAGGTCCTGATAGGACGTCAGCAGCAGTTGGATGAACGAATGCAGGAGAACAGGCTGGCAAGGGAGGAGTCTCTGAAGAGGAGAGAGGAGCTCATCCAACAGCTGGAGCAAGAGAGAATCACTCTACGCCAGGAGAGAGAGCAGCAGGAGGGATCCCGCACATCTCGCATGCAGGAGATCAATGCACAGGTGTGTGTATAAGCACCACACTTACTTTAGTATACGAGTTATACACTCACCGGCCACTTTATTAGGTACCCCATGCTAGTAACGGGTTGGACCCCCTTTTGCCTTCAGAACTGCCTCAATTCTTCGTGGCATAGATTCAACAAGGTGCTGGAAGCATTCCTCAGGGAGTTTGGTCCATATTGACATGATGGCATAACACAGTTGCCGCAGATTTGTCGGCTGCATATCCATGATGCGAATCTCCCGTTCCACCACATCCCAAAGATGCTCTATTGGATTGAGATCTGGTGACTGTGGAGGCCATTTGAGTACAGCGAACTCATTGTCATGTTCAAGAAACCAGTCTGAGATGATTCCAGCTTTATGACATGGCGCATTATCCTGCTGAAAGTAGCCATCAGAAGTTGGGTACATTGTGGTCATAAAGGGATGGACATGGTCAGCAACAATACTCAGGTAGGCTGTGGCGTTGCAACGATGCTCAATTGGTACCAAGGGGCCCAAAGAGTGCCAAGAAAATATTCCCCACACCATGACACCACCACCACCAGCCTGAACCGTTGATACAAGGCAGGATGGATCCATGCTTTCATGTTGTAGACGCCAAATTCGGACCCTACCATCCGAATGTCGCAGCAGAAATCGAGACTCATCAGACCAGGCAACGTTTTTCCAATCTTCTATTGTCCAATTTCGATGAGCTTGTGCAAATTGTAGCCTCAGTTTCCTGTTCTTAGCTGAAAGGAGTGGCACCCGGTGTGGTCTTCTGCTGCTGTAGCCCATCTGCCTCAAAGTTCGACGTACTGTGCGTTCAGAGATGCTCTTCTGCCCACCTTGGTTGTAACGGGTGGTTATTTGAGTCACTGTTGCCCTTCTATCAGCTCGAACCAGTCTGGCCATTCTCCTCTGACCTCTGGCATCAACAAGGCATTTCCGCCCACAGAACTGCCGCTCACTGGATGTTTTTTCTTTTTCGGACCATTCTCTGTAAACCCTAGAGATGGTTGTGCGTGAAAATCCCAGTAGATTAGCAGTTTCTGAAATACTCAGACCAGCCCTTCTGGCACCAACAATCATGCCACGTTCAAAGTCACTGAAATCACCTTTCTTCCCCATACTGATGCTCGGTTTCAACTGCAGGAGATTGTCTTGACCATGTCTACATGCCTAAATGCACTGAGTTGCCGCCATGTGATTGGCTGCTTAGAAATTAAGTGTTAACGCGCAGTTGGACAGGTGTACCTAATAAAGTGGCCGGTGAGTGTAGATGTCTTCAATAGATGTGTTCGTCCAACAGGTGGCGCAGAGGCGCAAGGAACAGTGGGAAGAGCAGCAAAGACAAGAACAGGAAGAAGTACAAGAGAGGGAGGAGCTAAGGCTGCAGGAGGAGGAGCTTCGTCTTGAGACGGAGAGAATGAATCGACAGGGCTACCAGCAGAGAGTGAGTGAAGATTCAAGTTATAATGAAAACCCAGTGTTTATGAAATGCACTAACTGATTCATTTTTTTTTCATCATGGCAGATTCACGGCAGACCCCGGTCAGCATGGACATGAGAGCGATTTTACAGGAAGAATTGTTGTGCCACATCCCCTATCAGATGCTAGGATGCATTTTCGGGGATATCTATATGTCCATGCTGATCTCGGCCACTTTGTGCATTAATGAGAGTCAGTTTTCCCATCAGAGATTATTTTAATATATGGCCCATCAATTGTTTATGATTTAGATTATGGCTTCCATCAGTAGTTGTTTAGGCAAGTTATCAATTTAAAATGTCAATTACACTAGTACTGAGGTTTGCATGTAGGGCTGTTTTTATATGTAGATTGTTTTGTATACATGAATTTCAAAGCTGACAAGGTTTTCAATAAAGAAACTGTTATCCATTGTCTACTGCATTCATGTGTTTTGAAGACCCTTGAAGGAGTAGTTAACTTTTAAAAAAACTTTAACTGATAATTTACTCACCCCCATGTCATCCAAGATGTCCATGTCATTATTTCTTCAGTCGAAAAGAAATTAAGGTTTTTGATGAAAACATTCCAGCATTATTCTCCATATAATGCACTTTACTGGTAACCAAACGGTTCAAGGTCAGTTTTTGAAAAGACAGTTTCAGTGCAAACTGCAGACTGTTCAAAGGGCTTTAAATGACACCAGACGATGAATAAGGGTCTTATCAAGCGAAACGATCACTCATTAAAAAACAAAAGTTTAAGTTTTATAAGTTCAAATGGTCGCCTTGCTCTGTTCTGTGATGCGTGTTCGTGACTCTCCCGTTCAAACCCGTTTATCAAAATGAACGAATCTTTTTTCGTGTCATTTGGTTCATTCAAATTCAATTTGATTCATTTTCAGATATGAACAAAAGCTCTGGAGCAACAATTAAAGCTCAAAATTATAAATTAAGTTTATTTAAAAAATAAAGAACTCATTTTTCTTTTTAACCACAGGCATAACAATAATATTATTGAATGAGTGGAAGACCAGTTCATCTGAATAACTACAAATACTCAAACAAGGGGACTTTAACACTGAGCTGTAAGTCACTGACTCTTAGCCCTAATAACACTGAGCAACCAGTCCACTGCACAACGGTTTGCCAAGTCTAACCTGAACAGGTTAGATCAAAATACTTAGTAGAGAGGAAATAAAAAAAGATCTGCAAAGATAAGAGCTGCCTAAACACTGAAGTGAATGTACACTATGGAGAACTATCTAAAAAAAACCTGAAACAAAAGTATCACAAAACAGCATCAATCTGCTGGAGGAGATTATTGTATCTTCATATACTCTGCTGTGAATGTATAAGTTGTACATAAATACTGTATCGTAACCTACAAATCGTTGATGAAATCTGATTAAACTATGGTTAAGTAACCTTTCATAATATATTTTTCTTTAATACACCCTAAAAAGCTGAGTTATAGCTACCTGGCGTTTATCAGACATTTATACGGTCACGGAAATTATGGTTTAGCCACCTGGCGTATCCAAAAAGTTTATTTAACCTCTGACATGAATCTTTAACATGAGTCATGACATCTTTAGGCTTTCAAGTTTATTGTATCTGTACCTAAACATGGCCTACCAGACCACACTACCTGAATGTTTCGTACAGATAGATTACTACAATATTTCTTATATATATTATAGATTTCACTGAGATTATCATTGAAAAAAAGCTTAATTTAAACACAATTCGAAAACAACAAAGACATCCACAAATTTTGGACTAAATGATTGATTATAAAAAGGTAAAAGAACTTAAGTTTTCAGTATAGTGCAAAGAGTCAGGCATTTACTGAATATTTAGAGACTGGCTGCTCGTTTCTGCTCACAACATCAAGTCAAAAACATTTTCACGGTTTAACACACGTCCTTACACAACCCTTGTGAGCATTTCAGGCTTTATCTTATGGCTTCAAGCCAAACAGACACTTTAAATTAGAAATGAAAACATGCGAATACAGTTTAGATTACAAAAAAAAAAAATCTCACCTGACTTAACCTAAAAATGACTACTAAAATAACACTGAGGAAAACCATCAGGGTTGCATTACAGGTGAAAATGGGTGGAAGCAGGATCAGTTGTTGTTCTCTTTGGTGGTTATGGTAACAAGCTGCTTAGCAGCCTTGGCGATGTCATAAGCGCACTGGATGACCTGCTGGGTGACCAACTGCATGTCCACTGCGGTGCTGCTGTCCAAAGGAGATGCTTTCTTACACTCGTTCTGCAGTCGGTTTGCACTGGACGTTAATAAGCGCAAAGAGCTCCTTGCTGTCTCAGAGCGTGGTCTCTGTGGACAAAGATGAAAATACAGAAATAAATACGCATAAAATGCATTTTATAGTGGTTCAAGACTTGGCTAACTACTTAGCATTTAATATATAACTGGGGTAAAAAACAAATATAATATAATGCAAAATATAAAATAAAAAAGTAATTAGTTATCAATCGGTGAGCGGTGTGTGGGATTTTTACAATTTTTCTAGTTGAACTGAACTCCTATCCGACGCACATACATTAAGATTCGGGTGTGCGAGGCATTATATTTTATAGTGAATAATATATCAAATTAAAATAGACATATTTTTTATAAGATATTAATAAAACTAGAAACACTTTACAATACATTTGTTAACGTTATTTTAATGCAATAGTTAACATGAAATTACAATTAAAAAAAAGATTAAATGTTAACTTAATGTTCATTTCAACATTTTCTTATATATTATTCAAATAAATCTGAATCTGTTAATATTACTGTATGAATGCATTAACAATAACTAATGGGGCCTTCCGGTAAAGTTACCATAATATACATTTTTAAATAAATTACATTATCAAAAATGTGACCTATAGTTAGTGTCCAAATACTTTTTGTGGCCACTGTACATCCAAATACAAATCTAACAAACATCCTAAATGTATGATATATTAAAAGCTAGATATAAAGTACATCCTACTTTACCTGAGACTTTATTTTGTCACAAAATGTAACGACAGTTTATTATTGCCCAGCTCTTTAAATAAAAGTTCAATATATGTATGTATACATATATTCACAAGTATGTAAAAGTATGTCCAACTTTATTCACATACTTACAGTATACTTGCATAGGGTGATATATACTATATAGCAAATCTCAACTTCTTGATTGTATTGTCACAAAATTAAATGAACTATATTAATCACCCAGTTTTAATCTGCTGAATGCAACTAAGGCATGAAGATACTTTTTTTGTGAAAATCACTGTACATATACATTTTACTTGACTTTGTCTATAGCTTTTTCTATTGCATTTATGAAGTGTGGGGAGAAACTGCACACCTTTGGGAAGAGAGCAGCCATCTCATTCACAGCCACATGTATTCTTTCTGCGCAGGGTATAAAGCTATTGGAGGAGAAAATGATAGACACTGTATTAAAATCTCAAAATAAAAACCACCAGAGTTTGGAGAGTGAAACATCAAGCTAACAACAGAGCAATCGGTGGATAAAGCTTTAAATCTGGACATTTATACTGACACGAAAAATAGCAAATATTGTATGGTTTACAGATTTGTTTTGTTGTCTTTTAATCCCGTTTGTAGAATAATATCATATCACTGACATATTACAGATATTCTTAGAAAATATATGTAATATATTTGGCTTTAATTTCTTCATAAGTGCATTTATAAAAGTATATATTTCTGTGCATAAATCCACAAAAAAAGAAAAACATGCATTTTTGTAGTTGTGCAGCAGACAAGATGCAGATATTTTCAATGTAATGTATGTTCAAAATAACTGGGTTTGGCTTTCTTCAGCAACTTGAGAAAGATCTTAAAAATCACACAGCTTATTTTGCAATAAAATTCAAACCAGTGCAAAACAGAAAGATTAGAAGTTAGATGGATGTCAGTACAAAGCCTTTTCCTAAAAGAGAACCAAGAGTTCCTGCAAATAAAGGTGAAGTTTAGAAGACAATGCAGACTGATCCAGGCCTTTGGCATTAGCGTAGACATACTAGTAATCATGCGTATCGCATTCATGTTCAGATTAGTGGGTGAGTTCGGAAGAGAGAGATAGAGGTAGACACTGTGCCTGTGAGGCAGGGACAGAGGCCAGAGTACCAGGAGGCAGGGTTGTTGGGGTGGGCTGGGTGGGGAGCTCTGAGGCCGAGGGACTGCATGGGAGACGGGGGCTTGTCTGCCCACGGCACCAGTGTGCTGAAACAACCCAGACTGTGTCTAAGTCTGCGGACACTCTCCCTCTGCTCACATGGTCCACTGGTTGGGAAAGAGACAGATCGGGACCCAAACAGAGCGTGGCCCCCGATGGGACAGACCCCAAATGATGAACACAGACAATTGAGAACAGATGGAAAATGGAAAAGGTATGAATGGAGAAAATGATTCATTGGTTGGGAAACAAGTGGATTACGAAAAAAACAGGCACTTTCCATGAATGGGGTACAATATGCATTCTTTTATTTTTTTAAAGGTCTATATAAAAAAGGGTAGTGCTTAATCTTCAGAAAGAGTTCAATGTCAACCTCTGGAGGTCAAACTAAATTCATTTTCTATTAGTTTTATATACGGTTTGCTATTTTTGCAACAGTTACTTGACTTTGATTTGTGATTTGTTGTATTTTCCAGAAAATAACAAAAATATATTTTATTAATATAAAGAAATATTAAATATATACATTATCATTAAAAAGTTTGGGTACCATAAGATTAAAAAATAAATAAATAAATAAATAAATAATAATACTTGTATTCATTAAGAACACATTCAATTTCTATTTCAAATAAATGCTTTTTTTTAATCAAGGAACTCATAAATAATAAATTATTATAAATCTGTAAATAACTAACGATGGCAAGTTAATTTTAACACTAATCACTTATTATATTAATTAATACTAACTAATTTAAACTATCACTCAGTACAGAGTACTCATATATAGTATATAGTGGCTATAGTGGCTTACATTTCCCATATATTAATGTATTTGTTTGATAATTTGCTCATTCAACTTAAGGCAAATATGTGTTAAAAAAAACTAAAACAAATTGCCAAGGCTATGAGTATTTATTTATCCCTCCTATCATGATGTAGAAAATGTGCAAATATAATTTTAGTAAAAAAATAAACGTTTTTTAAATTCAAATAAGATATTAATTCAATCCATTGTCAAAATGATGATTCATGAAGCTGTGGTTCGATGTTAATTGCTGGTTACCGTTGAGAAGGTAAATGTTGGACAGGCCAAAAAATATTAAATTATCCACCTGTCATTCTTGTGTATTAATTTAAGTGATATTTCATCTGAAATATCTAAAAGTTCTCACAACTAAAACAATTTGATTTGTGTCTCTATTTGGCCACTAATAA